AATAAGCGCAACAATATTTGTCTATAAATAAAACAAGTCAAGTCTTAGCCACTTAAGGCATTTACACAGCTTCTTATCAACTAGACAGCTAGAACGTTAAATGGATTAAAGACGCGATCTTATGACCTTTCGAATTGGCAACTTAGAATAAGTAGTTAACGCTTCACACTAAATGAGATGAAAATATTTGCAAGTATTAAATTACTTATTCATGGCTTAAGATCGAAAATAAATATTTCTTACATTTTCTGCTTCTTCCTGGAAAGGTTTAATAATTTAATTAATATAAATAAATATTTATTAACTTCCCTTGTAATTTCTTCGTAAACAAATTTTAGAGAAATCATTTACAAAGACGCTTTGATATTCTATTCAACAAAAAATAATTTCTTTAATGAAAATATTTTTTAAATTTGAAAAAAAAAATCAATAAAATCATAAACTATTCTTTTAAAACACTACAAAATAAAAATTTTTGTATACAAAACTTGTTCTGAAAAAATAAGAATAAATTAATACCAACCCATAAAAAACACACACCTTGAATATATTAAAAATTATGAATTAAAATAAATGCATGCGGCTATTTAATTCAAAACTCAAGCACTTAACGCTCAGCGGACCATACAATCTATTAATTTCAACAGATTATAATTATAATAAAAAAATGATAAACTGTTCAAAATTTGTTAAACAAAATATAAATGTTTCAAACTTGAAGCGAGACTTGTTAATTTATAGTACCTACCGATGCTGCAGTTCATTTAAATGCTCACAACTTAACGGATAGGAAAAAATGTATATACGTATATGTATATGTATAAATATTGAACGAGTTCAGTCAACCGAGTCGTGACGACATTTTATTCGAGTTTTCAGCTCCCCCGCTTTAAGCCGGCTCTACCTTGCGGCGAGTGCAAAGCCAGCGAGACAGAGAGAGGAAAATACGCAGGGGAAGCTGATTTGAAAATATTATATTTTGGTCAGCTGTAGCTCTGCCAAAGAGTCAAAGCCTGTTAACTAATGTTGTTGTTGTTTGATTACTATGCAGAGAAGGCCAGCCGGTTGTTAGGTAGTCTCTGTAGCTTATGTGGCGTCTCTATATACATATATATATGCCTGTTCGGTGTTCGTTTTCAATGTCAATGTCAAAAGCGTTTGCGATCGCATGTTGAATCAAGCACGCAGCGAAATTTGCCGCCTCAGTTTAAATTTTGTGCTTGATTTTATTGTTGTTATTATTTCTATTGAATAACAAACACAAACGCACAGACGCACACACATGTAAGCATGTATTGTTTCTTAGTACACGAGACAAACAGTAAACAAACACTATAATTTAGTTACTATTGTATTTTGCAGCATTGACTTAGCAACTGGTTTTTTTTTTAACTATAAACTTTAAATAGAATAGACTGCATTCTTTGGAGACTAACGAAAAATATTTGTTGGCTGAAGGCACACACTATAAATCTATGTGTATACATATTAGTCAGTAAATCACAAGCTAACCTTCTAAAATTACAAATCTAGTCTATTTTATAATTCATATTTTTATCTCAGTATAAATAGGCTTAGTAAATATAGTTTGTTTACATTTTATAAAAATATTTAAAAAACAAATATGTTACAAACTCGTAACTCGTTCACGAAGTTAAAAATTAAGGTATATGGATTTTGTTAACTTAATTAGAGGCATGCCGTTTCTAAGGCGATTCAGATTTAGCTAAGAATCGTGAGCGAGATGAATGTATTTAATAATGATTATTTTTTTGCAATAGAAATCTATAAGAAATTTAACAAAATAATACAGATACAGGCACTAATTAATATTGATATGCATTCTTTAATAAAAAAAAGTTGTTCAAAATTTTTTAATGATTTCTGTTTACAAATAAAATTTAAAAAAAAAAAAAAAAAATTTAAATAAATAAAATCTATAACAATATGTCATTCATTCATTAAAGTTCAACTCCCCCAAATGGACAGCCCAGTATTGCAATTCTTTAAATTTATATTCAAGATTTTTTAACAATGACTAACAAATTGTACTTTATTATGAAATTATTAATTATTAACCGCATATCTTTCAACCACAACGAATAATATATATGCTTGTTCCGACAATATAAACACTTAAAAGCGACAGAAAGGCAAGTAATATGTGATAAAATATAAAAAACAATAATAATATGAAATAATATAAATTACAAATTTAAATATATAAATTTATCTTGGGTATTGTTCGGATTTTCTAGTGCATAAAATATATGCATCAAGCAAATAGACAAAAAACACGGATATTTAATGTTAATACAATTGAAAATTATTATACATAAATAAAAAATAAAAAAATAAAAACAAAAAGACTATTCATCACGAGATCAAAGTTCCAATAAGGGTATATCAAAAATATTAAAGATATACTAAAAATGCAATAAACAATATTATCTATAATGATGACTGAACAAAACTAGCTGCCTGCTAAATATTAATAAATACCATATTAGTGAAGTGCCTTTGCTATAATTTCAATATCAAGCTCGATACTAGTAAATTGGGTTTTTATCTGTGCGAGGGCTCGCTGTATTGAATAATCTAATATGTTTGGGATGTACGTGGGCCGATTCATTTACCTTTCTCCTGATAAGGCCCTATCAGTTATCATATGAACCTAAGTAATTAGCTATAAAGCCCGCAATATAAATGCCGTGGGGGAAAATGAATACAACAAACTAATATAAAGTTGTGTTGTAAATCAGTTGGAAATTATCTAGTGGCTATCAGATTAATATTTAGACTCGTGGATAGTTCGAAAAGAGTTGGAGAATGCATCAAGTAGCTAATGTAATGTATTCATTCTTGGTAATTGAATGTTATTGCTTATTTTATAGGCTGCAGTCGTGTTGAAGCAAGGGTTACGAAAAACCGGAATTTAGCATTTAATTGCATATTGCACAGCGTAATACGTAATTATTTAGCATTTATTAAATTATAGTAAATACGTGTAAAGGTATGCCTACGAATTGAAAAACGCCTTTCGCGTATGTGTCGTATTAACAACAAGAGAGATAAACTGTTTATAAGCTCCCAGTCATCCGGCCTGAACCATTGATAATAATAGTTGTTAAGTGATTGTTTATAAAAGGCAAGTGAGCTCAGCACTTAAGGTTTAGTTTTGGGTTTGGCACGGTGGTAACAATTTCGAACTGTAGTAGCTGCACTAAGCCAAGCTAGCTTATAGCTAATGTCTAACTTGCCTGAGAATCAAATCGAAACCCCCATTTTAAAGAATCACCGTAATAACTCATTCGGTGAGGACAGTAAAATGTGAATGAGTTAAATTCACATTATTTATGTATCTAAGCACTTATATTTCGAAATTTACAGCTGCATACAAATAAAATTCTGTCTATTATTAGAAAAATCAAGTTTCTTATTAAAGATAATTTTTCTTTAATTAATTCAAAAATACGAAATTTATAAAAAATACAAATATATATAAAATAAATTTAAATCAGAAATTGTCATTTAAAAAAATAACCATATGTAAATAATTAAATAGCAAGTTATTTAGATTAACAAATAAATACTCCCAATACAAATTATGCAAAGATAATCAACAAAATTAAAAACATAAAAATAAAAAAGTAAGTACGAAATAAAATCAAGTAAGCCTTTCCGTAAATTAAAACAAAAAAAAAAACAAAAATATTATTGTATATGCTAATCCCATCTTTAATGCGTTCAAAGTAAAATAATCTCTAAGTGCTATCAACTGAAGCCTGCTAATATTTTGACACGAATTTTTTGCTGATTAACAATCATTAAAATTATTGTTAAATTTATACTAATTGTATTCCAAAATATCGGTGCGATCAGAGAAATACAACCAATTTATCTTGATCTCCGATTTCCAAAAAATAAGAAGCTGGTCAAAAAAAAAATATTTTACAAAAAACCTATAAATGAATTTAATAACATATTATA